GTGACACTGCTCTCGGGGCACAGTCTGGCCAGATTTGAACAGCTTTTGCACTGGCCTACCAGCTACCTGGAGCCCTTCCATCTGGGCTTCAGAAAGAAGTACACATTCTCAGATCTCCTACTTTATAATTTGAAAAGCCTTAAAAGGAAATAAATCTAACCTTCCTCCCAAGTGACATAATGGACCAGGAGGCCAGATGACATAGCCCATTAAGAAAGGTCTTTACAGCCTCGAGAACCTTCACTGGCATGGCCCACTGTCTATCTTGACAGTGTACCCTCTGTAATCTGCAGAATCACTTCACTCCAGACAGAGTCATGTGCTTCTTTGGGAAACCAAACCAAACCAAACCAAACCAGACCAGACCAGACCAGACCAGACCAGACCAGACCAGACCAAACCAAACCAAACCAAACCAAACCAAACCAAACCAAAGCTCTTAGGGCCTGTGAGTGGCTCAACAGTTGGCACTTGCCAACTGAGCTCCCTAATCCCCAGGGCCCACATGGTGAAAGGAGAGAACCAATTCCCAAGAGTTGTTCTCCAGCCTCCCACGTGTTGGCTGTGCACTTGGCATTCATGTGCCCAAAATACACACACAATAAATAAATAATAAATAAATAATGTGCAATTATAAGAAAGAGCTTTAGCCTCAGTGGTTTGAGCCAGATCCCTTGTGGTTATTGTGGGGCCTATACTACATATTCTACAAAGTCTGGTGGTATCCCTGACTTCGGTCCACACGTGTCAACAGCACTTCCCCAGTTGTGAGGACCAAAAATATCTCCAGACACTGCCAAATACCTCCCAGGAAGAGCATGGTCACCAGCTGGGAACCATAGTCTTGAACTGGCCATCTAGGCCCTCAGCCCTACCCAGCCCATAGTCATAGTGTCTCATGTCTATGGGGTCTGCCCATTATCAATCCCAGCAAACTATGAAGTCACCCTCTCAGGCTGGTGCTGGCATGGTTAACAGGACTGAGGGCCAGGTGTGGGGATGAGTTCCTAAGCTGACAGATACACAAAGGCCAAAACTGCCCACACCAGTGGCCTTCAGGGTCTTGTCTCCTGAATTTGAAGAATGAAATTCACAGACCACAGAGGGTAAAGTTTAAAGAGTTTGTTATAGATTCATAGGTGGTGGGTTAAGTGGAAGAAGGAGGGAGAGAGGGAGGGAGGGAGGGGGGAGGGAAGGGAGGAAGAAGGGGGAGAGGGAGGAATCAGCCACAAACTTAGGAAAGCATGGAGTTAGGAATTAGGGTTTTAGGCTTATGTGATTTCTGGAGTGTTTCAGGGCTGACTCCCTCCAAATGGGGCCATGGGGGGACAGATGTAGGTGGAGCCACTGCCTGGATTCACAGGCAACCTGAAAAGCTCCCAATTAAGAATCAAGATGTGAGTAAGAGAGGAGGGAGGTGAGGGAGGGAGGGAGGGAGGGAGGGAGGGAAGGAAGGAACAGGGAGAAATCCAGCAAGTACAGAGCTTCTGTGTAGCAGGAGCAGTTCCTGGAAAAAGGTACCACCTAGCTGCTAGTCTAGGGCCTTTTTAAAGGACTTACCACAGGACTTATGGTGGAAGCTGGGGTGAGGTATCGGGAGGGGGTGGGCTGGTCAGTCCAGGTAGCCCAGCCAGGCGTCTGCTCTCAGTTTCAGTCTTGTCGGCATGCACAGCTTTTAGGCAGAGGTGCCCCTTATAGGAGACAAAGAAACAGAATCCAGGGGCTGGAGGGATGGCTCAGCGGTTAAGAGCACTGTCTACTCTTGTAGAGGACCTGGGTTCAGTTCCCAACACCCATATGGCAACCAACAACCATCCCTAACTCCAGTTCTAGGGGATCTGACTCCTCTTCTGACCTCTGTGGACATTGCATGACACAGTGCACAAACATACATGCAGGCAGTACACTCATGCACATAAAATAAAAATAATAAATAAGTAGCTTTATAAAGGAACTCTTTTCTGGCACTCCTGGCCTCCACCAAGAACATGAGAACGGCTGCTTGGCGTCCCCACCCCCCCCACACACACCAGATTCTACCTCTCATGCTCACCAGCTCTTTTTGTCCCATGGCCTTGGTGAGCAAGTCTTGGGCTGACTTCTTCGGGTTCCCTGCCCCTCACCTTCACACTCTCTGGGTAGGTAGTCTGACACCATGGGCTCCGGGTTCTTGAGGTACCTGCCTCCTCTCCGGCTTCCAGCCTGGCTGACTGTCTCTCCTGGGTTTGCAGGCTTAGCCTCTGCAGGGACCTCCTTCTCCAGGCCTTTGAAGTCATGCTGGACCACACACACACACACACACACACACACACGCACACACACACATTGCTTCTCTGCACCACCCCACTGTGGTGTTCCTTTCTCATTAGAGAGTCTGTGTTGGTTGGCACTTGGCTAAGGGTATCTGCCATTCCACATTGACCTGCCTTGAAGCAGAGACCCTGCCAAGTCCCTTTCCCCTAGCACCAACCCCTGGATGAATACAGAGATTCCACCATAATTTGATTTGATGTCCACGCTTGAAAAGTGTAAATTCCAAGTATATTTAACCATTGAACAATTATGTAGCTAGTATACCACGGGGCACCCTTGATCACTTCCAAGGAGGGCAGACACTCAGGACCATCTTCTGGAAGAGCAGATTGTAGTATTTAGATGATCATGGAAACTACATCTTTCTGACTCCTTTAAGCCCCCACCCCAGCCAAACAAGTCTTTCCACTCCAAGTGGGCGATGAGGCTTTGCTAATTAATCCTTGTAAAGGACTTTGAGATCTTCTGAAAGGTGACGAAGTACGAAGGCTTCAGTGACAGCCTAATTATTATTATTACCAGGCACAAAGCTGAGAGAGCTAGAAAGATCCCCAGGTACCATTCAAAATAGTAAGAGAAAAAAATAATCCAATGAAAGAATTCTAACATGGAGTCTGTCAATCACAGGCTCCGAATGTTGGCCGGGTCTTTAAAAGTGGCCTTCCCAGAGCCTGTCCTCCCAGCATCTCTAGATGAAGTTCTTACCACAGTGCCCAGTGCTTGCCAGAACAGAAGAGGGGATGGTTTCCTGTGTTCACATCCTCAATCTTTTCTTGGTGGGGAGCGAGTGAATCACTGGACCTCATCAATAGAACAGCAATGAGATTGCCACCAAAAGGAGCCGCTGCACATCTAAGGCCTGGCCACTGACCACTGTTCAGCAAGAGATTAATGGTGGATAGCCATTGACATTATAAAAACTCTTGAGCTGCTGGGAGTGGTGTTGCATGACTTTAATCTCAGCACTCGGGGAGCAGAGGCTGATGGATTTCTGTGAGTTCAAGGCCAGCTTGGTCTAGCGAGTTCTAGATCACCCAAGGCTACATAGTGAGACTCTGTCTCAAAACAAACAAAACTGCACTTGAGCTAATTCATCAATCTACAAAAGATAAATCTCAAAGCCTCCAACCTCTATGCCTTTCCTACCTTGGGGTCTGTCTTGAGTTCTGAACACTACATCTCAAAATTCCAGCCACTTCATTGCAAACAAGTGTGTGTGTGATGGTGTAATGCAGATGAAGGAAGGGATCTCCCAATCCCCCTTTAGTCCTATGGCAAAAAAATAAATATCAGGTCCAAAGTCTATTCTCTTTCTTTCCTGCGTAGTCCTGTGCTGAGCCAGGACAGAGGAGCCTTGGTTACTGGTCAGAGCCTTCAGGGTCAGAGGCTTAGAACCAGCAAGATGGTTCAACTGACAAAGGTGCCTGCTGCCAGGGCTGATAACTCAGTCCCCAGTCTATATGGTGATAGAAGAGAATCAAATTTCACAAGTTGTCCTCTGACCTCCACTCCAGCACCAAGGCATGTACACACACACACACACACACACACACACACACACACACACTACTCTCCCCCCCACCCCCGCACAAAGATATACACACACACACACACACACACACACACACACACACACACAATTTATAAAATGGAGAAACAATGTATTTTAACATGTCGAGCTTTACTGGGTGTCTTAGTGTTTTTTCATATGTAAAACAGGCCCACAGTTCCCTCCTGGTGTAGGGCAGAGGCAGTCTACTGTGGAATTGCTACATAAACTGTAATGCACCCTGTTGTCGGCTGCCCCACAACCTACACTATCATCCTGCGCATAGCTGTGCTCTCTGGGTTCTCTCAGCAAGCTGCAGTCCTCCAGGGTCCACAGAGGCCCAGCTCCACACTGGACACAATGTGCACAGATTGGTACCCGTGCAAAATGACTCATGTAATTGCCCTGTGTGAATACCCTGAGCCTTTCTTGTTCACCCACCCACACATCTCTAGTGCTATGATTCCTGAGCCAGCTGCAAAGAAAGGAGAAGAGGGTCAGGTTCAAAGGCCTAGGGCTCAAAAGAGACCACCACCCATGTGGTTCCTAAAGGTAGTCAGGGTTCCAGCATCCAAATTCAAACTGCTTAAGTTCCTGGTTTGCCTTTCTGTCCATCTTCCCTGTAAGTTTCTGAAGAGGGATTTCTAGGGTCTTCCCCTTGGGAATTAGTTGTAGGAATAATTGGGCCAGTGGAGTGCAGGAGACAAATTCAGTGCAGCCCATGCACTCCTGGAAAAAGTGACCTAGATCGGGCTGCTGGTGAATTCAGGGCTACTGTGGGGACCCCCTGCCACCTACTGACCTGTGACTGAACCCACATTCCCAATAGCATCCCACCCCACGCCCTGGCTGGGGGAGGGGGCAGAGAGAGTGGAAGAAGGTGGGGGAGGAAGTGAAGGATATTGTGAGTCGCCCCTTTGGGGAGCACACACCACCCCCCACCTTCCATCATCTGCCTCGGCAGAGAGGAGAGGAAGGTGAGGATGGGGAGGTGAGGCTGAGGGGTAGTGGAGGCCAGTGCAGGGACTCTGAGCAAGCTCCTGGGTATTAACATAGAGAGCTTTGCAGCCTGTGTGAGTGTGAGGGGGAGAGAGAGAGGGAGAGAGCTCGAGCAAGCAAGGGAGGGAGAGAGAGGCAGGCTGCTCAGAGAGGAGGAGAGCCAGCGGAGGGAGAGGGGGAGCGAGCTAGCACTCCGAGCAAGAGGACAGGCTTCTCTGGGCTCAGTTAATCTGGCTGTCAGTCGGCAACGCTGCAGTTTAAGTGCTCAGCTCCCATTCCAGGGGAACGAGGCAAACCCCACGGAAGGAGGGAAGGAGGCCAAGGAGCGCGGTCTGCAGGAGGCAAGGAGTCGGCAGAGCGAGAGAGGAATCAAAGGAAGGGGAGGGAAATAGCAAACCTATGGTTGGACCTGGGCTACTTTTTCGCCAATGTAAAAAGGAATATGCCGTACATTTTTGCCTTTTTCTGCACCGGTTTCCTAGGCGCGGTCGTGGGTGCCAATTTCCCCAACAATATCCAGATAGGTGAGTGAGGGGGCTGCTGGGGATGGACTTTTGGGATCTGGCCAGGGATTATTTTGAGCAGGGGAGCTCTCTCACCCTATCCTTACTTACTAGGAGCTGTTGTGCTTGGTGATCAGAAGCCAGGATGGGAGGAAGACCCCCAGGCTGCCAGGGACAGGGACGGGAGGGGCTTCATCTAATACAGAGACAGGCCCAGGGGAAGTGTTCTCTCTCTCACACACACATACAGGTGCACACACACACTGCTCACACTCCAAGCATGAACGAGTGCGTGAAATGGAGGAACCACTGCTCCACAGAGGGAAAAAAATAATCCTGCTTTATTTGGGAGGTTGAGTTTAAGGAGTTAACTCTTGGTCTGTGGGTAGTGCCTCCTTTCATTGATGTATATAAATATGTATGGTGGGTGTATTGTGTGTGTGTGTGGTTATATATGCACATATAGCCTGATGGAGATTTCCTGGTTGGGGGAAGGGAAAGAGACCCCTCTTTGAGAAGGAGTGATATGAATTGTGCTTGCTCGCAGCTGCTTAGATGATGCCCCAGGCCCCACTCTGTAGCTCCAGCTCTCTGGACCCCTGTAGCTCATTCCTCCGCCCTTTGCCATCTGCCTTGCCGGGATGTGGTCCCCACTCCCCCATCCTGGACTTCCCAGCCTGCCCTTTCTTTCCTCCCTTGCTCCTTCCTCTTCAGTGTCCTGTGCAGACACCTACAAGGGTTTACACATGCAGACACACACATCCCCTCCCCTCCGGTCAGCAGCCCCCATCCCAGGGCTCCATCCATCCTCTCAACTTGCAGGCTGATTTCAACATGCTACATGCCTTCCTCTCCCCCATTTCCCATCATCGGTAGCTGTCTCCTCCTGCCTTTATTAATGAAGGAGCCAGTAGGTATTTCTGTTCCCTGTAACCATGGGGAACAGCCAAACTGGAGCAACGGCCCCAGTAACAAAGGGTGTCCGCGGGGCTCCGGGGGATCAGGGTGACCAGCATCTCAGTGCTGCCTGTGTGCCGGGCATCAAGCAGGCTGCTACGCTTTGAGGCATCTTGGCTGGCTCAGTTTCTGTTTCTGCCCCCACCAGAGGCTAGCTTACTAGGGAAAGTTCCATCGCTAGTTCTGCTCTTTGTACAAGTGTGCTTGTGGGGGGATGTGATGCAAGGCACACATGTGTTGCTAAGCACCTCTTTGGGCCTCTCTAGCTCCCTGGCTCCCAGTGCTGTTGGAGAAGCCATGGAGTAACTTGCTTTGTTTCCTGACACCTGTTAAGCCGTATTCTGATGTGTATGTGTTCTCCTGCCTTGCACACAAACTTCCTTTGGGAGACACTTCCCTTGCAGCCCAGGCTGTGTCTGCCTCCCACCTCCCACCTGCTCCCTCCTGTTTACTGCAGGGAGAGGAGGAAGGGGATGGAGATGGGTTTGGGGTGTGGTCATCTAAGAGAAGAGAGTGGAGCATCCAAATCAGGAGTGATTTGTTTTGTTTTTAGTTTTAATAATGAGGGCTTATGTGTGTGTGGAAGTCACCTGTGCTGTCTTATGGTGTGCTTTGTGTTAGTATTGCCCCTACACTACAGATGGTAATTGTAACCTCTCCTCAGGGGAGATGTGGACTGGCTTTCTCTAAGTCTGTGTCCATCAGGGGAGCTGAAACACAGGAAGGCTTGCATGGGCACGCTCACAGGTGCTCGTGCATCCCTGCGGACATTTCACCACATTCGGTCCCAGTTTGCTTCTGCGACTGCTCAGACCTTTGTTGTGGTTTTCAAACACAAGAGAGAAGCATCCACTTGTAGAACAAATGTTGCAAACATCACTGCTGTGAGGTCGTAGTTCTCTACGTACGTGATCTCCAGCACAACCCTCAGAAACAAACACAGATCCACTGCGCAAGAAGTTACACGCTTATTATTGGGGACTGTGAATTCCTGGCCAATCAGAGATAAACTTCTGTGTAAACATTCCTATAGTTCTGTCCCTAGAAATAGCTGGTTTCCGTTTGCAGGAATGTGTTTCAGTTCACTCACATACAAATATATACATAATACAAAATACAAAGCTAAGAATACAGAATACAAAGCTAAGCCCCTGTGTGTTACTCAGAATGGGAGCCCTGGAAGGTGCCTTTCCTGTGCTAGACTCTGATGTCAGGACTTATTGACATTCTTAAGACCCCACATCTGAAGCACATGGGATGCCCTTATGTAACCAGGCATTCCTAGGCAGCTAGAAACCAAGCAACAAAGGAGGGCAAACACTAAGAAACCCAGTGCTCAGAAGAAATAAGTAATAAACCTCTGGAGGCCACAGGATAGTCAAACTACATACAGGCCTTGCCGAGTTAAAGACCCAAAGCAGCAAACAGTCCAAGTGCTGCAGAAACCCATGGGGTTCTGGCCCTCAATTTCTATCACTTTGCAGCACTTCTTAACACCTGCAAGGCTCTGTGAGTGAGAGATGGGGCCCAGGTGAGAAGAGTTAGATGCGGGGAGGGTCTGTGTGTGTGAGAACAGAGGCACTGGGTGTCTTGCAGATAGGAGGGAGAAGAAGAAAAATGCTACAGGTCTCCTGTCTGTCTTCTCTGACCTCCACTGAGCCGTGGGGCACAGAGCCAAGCATTTCAGCAGAGTGATGGATGCCGGGCCCGTCTCAGGGGCTTATCTGTAGGGTTTAGGCCTCAGCGCCCATATCCGATTGAACACTTCTTCACTGCTGATTACGATGGTTGTAGCTGTAGGTTTGGTGGGGACAGGCAATGGGCTTTCTGGGTCGGGCTGCTAAGGAACTGAGACCTGTCTCCTCTCAAGATACCACCCTGCCTTTTCTCTCCTCACAGGGGGATTATTTCCAAATCAGCAGTCCCAGGAACATGCGGCCTTTAGATTCGCTTTGTCTCAACTCACAGAGCCCCCCAAGCTGCTCCCCCAGATTGATATTGTGAACATCAGCGACAGCTTCGAGATGACATACAGATGTAAGTAATGGCCTCTGATTCTGAGCTTTCTTTCTGTGCTACATCAGCGATGAGAGAGCCTGTGGGTAGGTGGTGGTGTTGCAAACATCTCCAGTCCTCAGTCCTCATTTGTCTTCTGAGAGAGCCCTCTGAGGAAAATTCCCAGAGCTTTTGAGTGATTCCAGCAGTTGGTATTTTAGATCCCACGGTGCCTGGTGGAACGGGCCCACTTTTCCACAGTCAGCAAGCTTTAAATGCCAGCCTGGCGGGGTCTTGGGTTGACAGCATGTGGCTTTCTTCACTGAGGTCTTCCCCATCTGTGGAAAGAGGAGCACATAAAGACAGCTTCTGAGCTGGAGCAGGAACGGTTCCGATTTTAGGACACTGTGTTTTAAACGCCCAAGTCATGTCATGCCACCAAGTTAGGAGGAAAATGTCCTTGTAGCTTGATGAGGAAAGGTGGGTGAGGAGGTGTGTATCTGGTTTCCTATTTGGGGAAAGTGACTAATAAATATTGAAACTTGGTGCTGACTATTTCCAAAATGGCTTGAAGTGATTGAATGCTTACAACAGTTTGTAGATTTAAAAGAGGAGGATCTGAGCAATCTATACTGTTTGTACGGTGGGTTGTTGACCCCTGTCACACGACTGGGATGCTTGGGTGGACACATTTAAAATGGGATGTGCAACTACCACTAGCAACTGGGACCAAAAAGTGAATCTGGGTGGTGGGTTGTATGGCTGTCACTGTGACGTATGAAAGTCCCAGAACTCATCAGTGGAGACATCTCCCTTCTGCAGATTAGGCTCTGGTAGAAATATGTAATGGGAAAGCTTAAAGTTTTAGAGAGAGAATAACTCCACACCCCAAACTAGATGGAACTCGCTCTGCAGTTGGCTTCCTGAGCGGCTGAGCTAATAGTGGCTGAGATGGACACCTCTTGCCTCCTTTGTCTTCACAGTCCCTTGCTGGGTGGTGGGCCCTCAGCGATTTCTGCTGACAAGGCTTTGAAGTCTCAAGTGAGAACGCAGAACTCCCCCTGTCCTCAAGATCACTCATAGGGTAGCGTTGATATGCATTCCGAGAGTTAGTTATACCAGAGGGATTTGGGTAAGGATGGCATAGAGATGGATGGAACTGTGTATTGTTGGTTATTAATCAGTTACTACACACCAGACCGTGTGATATACCAGCTTTTCACAGGGCGACTTATATAATCCTCACAGGAGCCTTGCCGAGAATCCTTACTGTCCTCTGAGAGATGTGGAAACTGAGGGGGAAGGGCTTACATCACATTCACAAACTCAAACTGCCCCTGGGGTCTGCACAAGAGTAGCTGGTAGGATAAACACATCGCAGTTTTGCATATTGATAAAGCCGAGGTTAAAAACCTCATTTATTGTTACCCACAATTCCAGCTTCTATTGACCTTGCCAAGACCACGATCCCAACAATTAAGTACCTGATGACAATATGTAGCTTGGGCAGGAAGGGTTTATTCTGGCACACAGTGTGAGGATGCAGTCCATGACACAGGGAGGGTGTGGTGGCAGGAGCAGTGTGCGGTTGCTTCTTCACTGCTGAGCTGACTGGGAGGCAGAGAGGGGCACGTGAGTGTTCTGCTCTCTCCTCCTTCCTTTCGATTCAATCCAAAACCCCAACCGATAGGGTGGTGCTGCCCACATTCAGGGTGGGTCTTCTCTATCAGCTAATCCTCTTTGGAGTGCCCTCACAGACGTGCCCATAGGTGTGATTTGGTAATGCCCAAGGCATTTCTAAATCCAACCAATCAATATTAACTACCACAGAAAAAAAACGGAGCTCGGGTCACATTGTTGGGCTGTGGTGCTATGAAAACACCCCACCAAGCGTGACAGAGTAGGTCCATAGTGGTCAGATAACCTCTCGTTTCCCTTCAAGTGGCCGGCAGTAGGTCTGTGAAGGAAGTATTTGAATACGTATCTACATATTATGCACAAGATTATGCACAAACCTCCGTCCATAAGCAAGTGCTAAGCTGACTTTGGAGCTGGAGGGACAGCTGAGTGTTTATGAGTGTCCTGCACTTGCAGAAAACCCGAATTTGGTTCCCAGCACCCACATCAGGTGACTCCCACCACCTGAAACACCAGCTCCAGGAATCAGATGCCTTCACTCACATGTGAACACACACACGCACACACTGCCTGCACACACACTCTCAGTATTTCTAAAAAGATGTCTTTAGGGAAGGGGCTCCATAGCTTTTTAATATTCTATGGCTTTGGTCAGACTTTCAAATGGGTTCACTGTTCAACAAGGATTCTCGAGAATAAATGGCAGATGTGCACACTCAGTTCACAGGGCCGAGAACTGTCTATGGCAGAACTTGCAGGAGGATATGTTCACTGCCTAGTGTCAAGACACAGAGCAGCATGGCAGGGTACTAAAGCCAGACCGGGAGGAGACATGCTAAGGCACAAGGTGGCGTCTCTGCTCTGTTAGCTTTGAAACCTAAGACTTGATTTCTAAGAGTTTACCAGGAAGGTAGAAATAGTGCGACGTTGCCCATTATGTCCATGGTCCAGCAGTGGACAGATCTGAGTTCTTAAACTTGATGTCTGTCACAGGCCAGGACACAAGGTTTCACTAGTTCCCTCTTCCTCAGTCTTCCGCTGTTTCTTCAAAGCTATGAACCAAGGCAGACCCTCGAAATGTAGACGTAAGTGTAATTAAGCATTGGTTTTAAAGCTACTGTGCTCTGGAGGGGCACATGGGGAGGCTTTGAGAAGCAATACTGCTATTCAATGCTTAGACTGCAGTTTCTCCCCTTTAGTTCTGAGATGAGGGGCCAAAGGGTAATTTGAGGCAAGTTGGGAGCAGTGGCGTGGCTCCTGTCTGCCTGGAGGAGTCTGTTAACTTTCACATGTGGCCAGGGAATCCTTTGCAGCTGTTTGCGCGGTCCATCGCTGTGGGAAACCTGCCTGTCTCTCCCAATTTGAACCGAGTGAAAACCATGAAAGGGAGAAGAGCCGTTCTGGACAGAATCGGTTAATTCATCACACATGGAAAACCAATTCAAGTGCATTATGCAGATGGGATTTTGTGTTTCTCTGAACTATGAATTAGTTGTTACCTTAAGTTAACTGCCCCATTCAGCTTCGACTTCAGAAAATGACCAAATGCTTCTTTTCATGGCTTTTGCAGTTACTTGAATTTTTTACTGTGCGTTTTGCTATTCATTATTCCTCCAGCAGAGGGTGGAGGAAGGAAGGGAGACTCTAGCAGGGATGGCTCCTGCTTGGAGGCTTTAGCACCAGGGGATCTGAGGGGAGACTGCTGAACACTGGGCATGGGGCACAGGGCACCGGCAAGCAGGGAGGGCAGCAACCTCGCCACTGGCCAAGGTGAGTCTGATGTCGTCTCTGAATTCAGTTCACAGAGATGGCCATCCTTCACCTGCCGTCATTTAGGGGACATAATTAGATCAGCACCCCCAAAACCAAAACCTCAGTGTCTCCTTCCAAGTCTACAAAGTCAGAGTGGGGGAGACGATCATCTACAGAGCTGGTATCTACTGGTCAAATGTCCAGCTTGTCTTGATGCCTTTGTTGTAAATAAAAGAATGAGTGACACTAATAATTGGGGTTCCAGTGAGAGGAACATCCTTACAAACTCAGTCTTACCCCTTCACTCATTCCTCCATTTATTCATTCATCGTTCATTCTGATTCAGCAGACAGATATGCAAACACAGACACAGACACAGACACAGACACACAGACACACACACACACACACACACACACACGCACAGAGAGAGACACACACACACACTGAATTCAGCCCTAGCAAATGCTGTGCTAGGTGGTAGGTCTGTAAGGGCCGACAAAACTGCACACATGTGGGGCCTATGGTTTAGCAAGAGGGCCTTGAAATTCAGTGCTCAGGAAATTCACCCCGAGGGCTTGTTTGAAGCAAGGCTGAGCAGCGGAGTCTCTTCTTCCCAAATCAGAATATTCAAGCACAGGCCCTGGAAGGGTTCTGCAATGTTTAGTATGGGTAGCACATCATAAGAGACTCTTTTATCTAAAAAGTCTTCCATTTCTTTAGTAAGCATTTCTGAGCCCTTAACCAAACCCTGGCATAATGTTAAGTACCAGAAATGCAGACAATGCTAAGACATGTCCTCTGCCCTAGAGGACTTCATCCCCAGCGAGGAACAGTGTCCTAGAAGAGAAAATTAAAATGTAATGGTGTACGTGCCTTAGCAGTCATTTCTAAGTAGTGTTAGAGGCACAGGGCGGTCTAGGGTTGACCACTCAGTGTGGAGCAGCAGACTCTCAATGGTAAACAAGTTTTCCCAAGAGGACCAGGAGGGCGGGCAAACAGGGTGGAGGAGGGACCTTCTGCCCAGAGGGAACAGCGGTGCACGGGGCACACATTACCTTGGGCTGCCTGGGTGTGGTGGTGCACACTTTGACCCCAGCACTTGGGAGGCAGAGGCAGGTGGATCTCTGAGAGTTCCAGGCCAGCCTGGTCTACATAGTGAGTTCCAGGCCAGCTGGGGCTACAGGGAGACCCTGTCTCAGAAAGCAAAACAAAACACATTGCCTTGGGCTTCCTCGGCTCCAGCCTCCAGGGGCTCCTCCACTTGGTGTTGATTGTATGCTACAAAAGATGCCACAAAATGGCTACCCACAGCCATTTCTGGTACAGAAATGGACATTGAAAAATGATGACATTTTTCCATTAAAATTCAGATGTCCCATCTTCCTAAAAATTTAAAAGACAGCACAAAATCTGCACAAGATTGGATTCATCAGCGTCCTTTCTTGACGCGGGAAGTAGCTCATGGGATCCCCCCAAGGATCTGTGTGCAGCTAATGGCTGATGGGGGAGGAACAAACATTTTCTTCTGTGGTGTAGCCACTCACAAGGCCCCTGTAATCTTGTAAACCCTTCACACGCTCCTGAAAGCAATCCTTATGAAATTCACCGGGGCATTTATAAAAAAACACCCTGGAGGTAGGAGCGGGGCC